ATCAAGATGCTGTCTCAAAATAAAAAATTTAAAAGGCTGGGACTGTAGCTCACTGGGGCGGGGGGGGGGGGGTGCTATGAGGCAAGGAGTCAGCTTCCCACTCTTATTCGTTTCTCTTCATAAAGATTTGGTCTTCTATTTTGCATATAAAACAAGAAAGGCGCCAGAAGTGGGTAAAACTGCCATACATTCACTACTCCCCTGCTCTGCTGCCACTGACCTTGGTCCCAGGTAGGAATGTCAACTGAGTGGCAGGAGGGAAAGAACACTATGTGCCCTGATGTGCCATCCCCGCCCGATGGTAAAGGACCTATGAAAAGAAGCTACTGGACCAATTTTACCTATTCTGTCATTGAAAAAACACACTCAGCTCCAATCACCTACTGAGAGTTCACCACTCTCAACCCACATGCAGCCTCCAGTAGGGAGAAGCCTGCAGGACAGATGGAAACCCATCTGTGGGTGAGCAGCCCGCACAGGGCTTCAAATGTCATCTCCAACAACAGACTCATCCGTGTTCACTGGCAGCCAAGAAGCACTTCACGTTAGCCAGCTTCTCTCTGTGAATCTCAGATCCTAAATATTTCTATTTACTTCTGGCCCTAACCCAAGGATCCCAACTGACAAGAGTCCAAGGCGCTAGACCAAGCTAGGTGTGCTTCAGGCCAGATTCCCACACTGCCCTGGCCACCTGCCCTGAACCTGCCCCGGTGCAAACCCTGGGCCTATGCTCTGCTTGGTTTGTAGACCAGACTGAACGCCTTCGAAATAGCTGACATAAAGATCTATCTTCCCAGTACTCCACCTCTCGCTAAACCTTAGTTCCACTTAGAAACTCATTCATGCCAGCATGCCAAGCACAGCAAACTCCAGATTGCCTGAAATTAGCAAGTCCCTCATTAGTCTTCCTGTGTGGGAATCCAGCCGATGTGTTTATTCTCAACTGTGTATTTACCCAACCTTTGTCACTACTATGTTACAGACTTCCACAAGATAAGTAAGACTGAGGCAGGGCCATCCTGCACAGGAAGGCACAGTTCCATGTGCAGACACACACACATGCACACACACACACAAGCCTGAGCTCTGCAGGAACAAGCAGTTCCCTGGGCCAACACAGGGGCTCCAGGAGTCCCCAGGAGAGGCATGAAGGAGGGAGAGCTCAGAACACCCTCCAGAATGCAGGCAAAGAGGGAGCCAGCACTGCAGGCAGAAAGAACAGAAACTGCAGGAAGTACAGGGTACAGGTCCATGAGGGAGACTGAGACACAAAGGGCTCCCTACAAGGAATGCCCAGACAACAGCACAAGGCCCTGAAGCAGAAGATGACAAGGAGGTTCAGATTTTGGAAAGATCAGCCTTTCACTCACATTTACATTCTTTTTTCCTAAGAAAGATAATGTTAGCAAAATAATAAAATTTCTTTCATTTCACTATTTTATGTTTGGCTCTATTTTCTCTTGATCTCTGCCACAGAGTAACTATTTTCCTAATGGTTTAAATAAGTGTGTAATGTGTAACATGCAATCACAGCTTTCTTCACAAATGAATCCCATGCCAACCACAAGATTTTTCATAAGGACCATGATTTGCATGGTTTTTGTAATTAATAATCTCCCCAAAAGGAAGCCATGTTTTCCAAAGTTTCTGGTCCCAAGCTATTTTTAAAATAACAACAATTAAATAATTCTTGTTTAAGGGACAGAAGTTATGGTCCCAATATCAGAGGCACAGATAACCAATCTGTAAAAAAGTCATCACCGGCAACATTTATATTCTCTGCCCCATGTACCCATAGGCATGATCTGTTCCTCTCACTGAGGTATTACAGTATAGGCAAATATTAATATTCTACCCATTTTCAACTAAATTACAAACTGTCTTTTTTAAGCAAAGAGGAAAAACTCAAGCAGGAAGAATAGGGAACTTGCGAACATTTCCCAGGAATTAAAACTGCTTAGTCAATGAAACATATTAGTGATTCAACCCATCTTTACTGGGTAGCTACCAGACGCAGCTCTAAAGAACTTCACATTCACCACTCCATACAATACTCAACCCCACCATTCTGTAACAGTGATGACAAACCTTTTACAGCTTTCAGTGACACAACCAGCCCACTGCAGCATGCATGCCATAGGGTCCCCACTGCTGCTCTGTAAGGTTGACTTGCCCTAGGTTAAGTAGCTAATAAACCTAGGCCTCCAACGTCATCCTGACAAGAGGGTGAAGCAGAGACAGAGACAGTGAAGGAAGGCTCCCCACTGCTCCCCCACATACCTGTGCCCTCAGTGCCCTCTTGCCTGGTCTATTGAGCAGCAGCCAGGTCTTTATACTCAAGGCAGTTCTCAGGCAAACAGGTGCTCCACTTATCTTCCTAGAGACTACTGCTGCCCTACCAAAATACCCAGTTCTCCCCGCACCAGCAAGGCATGTAAAATCCCAGAGTCTTCCCAGGAAATTCAGTCTTCTCCAGCCTGAGCCTGTCTTGGAGCACACACTACCCTGGCTGCGTGAACAGCTCTGCCCACTGTTCCCCTGACCCTAGAACACCTTCCCCCCTACTTCTCAGAAAGCAGGAAGCAGCGCTCCCCAAGTCCACAGGCCCAGACTCACTGTGAACCTACAGAACCAAAACCCTCCCACTCCACCAGGCAGGGGCTCTTTGAGTCACTCCACTACTCAGAAAGCACGGTCCTAAATCAACCACTAAGCCCAACGCAAACTCTAGTGACTAAATGACAGCCCCCTCCCCATGCCATAACGGTACCTCCCATCTCCAAATTCCTGAAACAACTACTGTCTCATTCCCTCCTGCTGGCACTGAATCCCCCCACCACCTGTTAGTGCATTCTGTGTTCTTCTCATGTCTTCTTTCTGAGTGCAAGATTTTAGCCTTCTATTTCTTCAGAAAGCGTAATGCTTTGTACACAGCCCTTCAACAAACCCCACACACACATAGCTGGGCCTATCCCTGCATCCAGCAGGAATCTAAGTGTCAGGCCACAGGCACAAGGACATATACATAAACAATCATCATGTCCAAGTAACATCATTCTCCACATCTAGCATAGAACCCAGCTCACAGAGCTCTGGGTGAAGACGGAAGAGGAAAACAAGCAGCCACTGTTGCCCACCAGTGATCAAAACCACAATAATGCTCCTCACTGAAGGAAGAAAAATGTTACCTATGACTACACTGGTAAGCCTTCGAATATCTGCTTATTGAGGACATTTCTAGTGCTAAATCATACCATTCTGCTCATTCTGCTGCCCAGAAAAATTGATTTGTTTAACCTGAAAACAGCTCAAATGTACAACTATAAAGCCAAAAATTAGCCCAGCATGCCACAAAATGCTTACTGCAGAGAAAACCTTGGTGAGTTGGGATCATTCTTTTGGGGGGGGGACCTTTGGGGTTTTTTTCTTTTTTTTACAATAAACATGATCTGCCCACATTTTTCCCCACCAGATGGAAGTTCATCATGTCACATGTCACCTAGCAACCTAACCTCTACTTTACAGCTACCCAGCTACCCAATTCTCCACACAGAATTTATCTTGTTCTGTTAAGCAGAACAGATAAAGAGAATAAAAGTTAAAAGTGATAACAATTGTTTTCTTTGTAACCACCTTACACAGGACTGCAAAGGTGGGAAGAAAGAGTAAAGATTAATTTTAATCATTATTTATCAATTGAGGAAATATTGCACAGGGACTTTGAAAATAGGTTCTGGCAACATTAAAAGTCAACAACAGTCTTGTGATCCAATTACTGAACTTTGTATAACTGCAAAAAGCCCAATTTAAAACTAACCTACTAAACGTGAGCTGCACTTAAAAGAGCACTTAAATAATTCTGGAAAGCCCTGCATCTTCTCTGGTTGTTCCTGTCCTTTCACTCCAGCTCCAATGTCACACACCCTTCCTGCCTGCCCTTCTCCATCGGTCACCTCACATATACCTTTCAACTGAATGCCCCTTTCCTCCTAAGGACCCCTTCCCCGACTATGTACTTTTCCTGTGCTCCCAAGTCCTCAAGAAACAACCACAGGTCCCAGGTCTAGATCTGTGACCAAAGCCTCTCAACTCCCCATTGAACATCCCAGGGCAGCCTTTCCTCCCCAGAACAGAACAACCCACACCAAGTGTCCCCTTCTCCCAGGACCCACAGAGCCTGTTGTGCTCGACTTTAACATCCACTTCCTACAAAGCGGGGGGGGGGGGGGGGGCCTAAATGCCCAGCACCCAGGACAGTGCCTTGGACATAATAAATGCTTAATTTTGTGGAACAAATTGATGATTCGATCAATCAAACAACTCCAAACAGGCAATTCAACCAATGTCCACTGGGTACATGATGAAACATGACTAATTTTAAGCATGTGAAATTAGCAACATGGAAAATGTCCATCACATCTACTCAGGAACCACAGCACATTGCCCAAGATACATCACCCCATGCCTCTTCCCTGTAGAACCTGACAGTCTCGGTTTCCAGAGTACACAACCTGTTTATTCATTTGGAACGCTGAAATCATAAGCTGACATTCATAAACAATCCTTAAAAATGCTACATGTGAGATTTGAAGGTTCCCCACCATTGTCAGCTTTGTAAGATAAACAGCTGCCCCATTTCCACTCATTCTGTTTGATTTCAGTGAGACCAATCGGCTGTGAGGAACACTTTACAGCTGTTAATAAAGTCACCCTCATCCACCCTTGCATCAGGTTCCTAAATAGCTCCCAAAATTATCTTTAAAAGTGTGAATGTATGCTATTTTTCCAAAATATGTTAAAATGACAAAAACGCTGCAAAATTTTTTTCCTTCCTAATCTCAGAGAAAATTGGAGAATATCACCCCAAGCAACCCGCACAAAACCGGGCAGACAAAGCCACCTTCCCCTCCCTCGCGGTCCCGGAGCCGACAGGAGCCAGGCTCCTCCACAGTGGAGAGCAGATGGAGGCTTACTGAGCACTTTCCCCGAAGCAGAACACATCACAAAGGAAATATCCTCAGGTGCTGGGGACCAACTTGGTTCTGGGCTGTTGTCAAACACAGACACGGTCGATAAAACAATTTAACAAAACGCCTTTTCACTCTGACACATTGTAGAGGAATGCAGTTCGGTGGAGACAATGTTATCACTCCACCAAGGGGAGGGAAATCTCCACTCCCGGATCGGCCCGGACCACGAGGAAAAGGCTCCTACAGGTAAGCGCCGAGGTCCCGGCAGAACTTTCCACGCGGTGACTGAGGTCCCGCCGCCAGGGACCCCGGCCCCGAGCTCCTCTGCGCCCCGGCCGCCCGCCTGCGCGCGCGCCAGGTCCTCGGTCCCCCTCGGGGGCCTCCGCA